CAGCTACACCACTGAACTCCCACATGGCCAACGGCAATTCGAGTTCCAGACCAGATGGCTTCAAAATCATGCCGGGCACATGTGTGTGCATGCCCAACATTTCAGGAGAATGGAGAAGAAAGAACTGCAGCGTGGCCATCTCCCCATGTAGGTGATTTCTTACTTTCCTTCTCACTGTCTCTGTCTCTCTTGTGAGTGCACATGCCCTAAGGCAAAAACCTCTCCAAAAAAAAAAAAAAAAAGGAAAGAATGAAGCCTCTGCTTCTAGCAGGTTTAATGTCAGAGATACCCAGACAGTTCTCAGGATGAGAAGCAGCTGCCTTCTGGGTTAATGAAAAGTCAGAAATATTTGTGAATGCTAGCTAGTTAACCCCATCACCTATGTGTATCTTTGGGCTATAAAGAGGTTGGCAAGTCTACACTTCTAGTGGTATTACAAATGATGATCACAAGAAAGGAAAATTATGAATCATCCATGCACACTGAGGTTTTGGGCAGCAAAATAGGAAGCAGTTCTAAAACTAGAATCATTTTCATTAAAAGAGAAAGAGAAGAAACCCCACTTTGATCTGTCACTGAGTGCCAGGCAGCCTTGTTTATAGGAGTTGCACCCCCCTGGTGTTGACTGGGGAGCAGGTGTGAGCTGGCCTCAGAGGAGCAGTTCCTGGAAGGGATGGTAGGTGCCTGCAACTTTATCCTCTGGGATTTATCCCACAGTTACCAAGGCAACAAGGCAGCCTTGCTCAGACTAGGAAAGACCATGAACCACCCAAAGTGCGAAGCTCTGGTGAGTATTTTTCCTCCTGGCTGGCAGCTGCCTGGACTGGATGAATCATCTTTCCACTGGACTGTCACCCTGGCCTCTCTGGCCAAGAGAATGCCTCCCATTCAGGCCCAGATTTGGTCTGCTGTTAACTGTTTGCACTCAGCTACCAGCAACGACAGAGCACTGCCCTGGAGCCAGAGCATCAGCCTGCCAGGCACACTGAGATGGCTCCACGCCGGACCTCTTTGGCTCTTTGAACCCTTTATTTATAGTGAGAGTCAGAAGAGGACCAGGTGAACTAAAATCCTCACCCATCTTAAACACTACGATACTACTTTTAACTTGGTTAGAAGGTCAAATGTGTTGGGCAGGTGTCTTTAAGACCCTTATATAGTCTCAGACCAGGATGAAGGCAACAGGTGGGAGGTGGACGACTTGGAGTCACCTCTTACCTGTGTAGCCCTAGGCAGTCACTTCACTGTGCAAGCCCTGATAACAAGAAAGTATGTAGGGCACAAGGCCCAGAGACCGGCCTTCAGGGATCCCCGGAACCAACAGCAATCGCCTAAAACGCAAACATTGTTTTATAGGAAGGAGGCGGGGAGGGATCTCTCTGGATTCAAACAGAACAAAAGTCAATAAAATGCCCATAATTTAATTCAATTTTTCTTCAACTCACAAGTCAATCAGAAACCTCTCTGGATATAGTGAGGCTACTCTTGGTGAAAAAAACAGATACTCTTCACCTCTGTTTTATAAAAGAGTCCATCCCTGGGACCAGCGGATGGCAGAGCAGTTATGTTGCTGGTCTCCCACATGGCCGACCACAGATAAAGTCCCGGACCCGCCAGCTTCAAAATCACTCAGGGCATGTGTATGTGTGTGCATGCACAAGATCCCAGGAGGACTGTGGCATGGCCAACCCCTCTGAGGGGTGATTTTTCACTTTCCCCCTCACTGTCTGTCTCTGTCACTCTCTGATAAGTGCACATGCCCTAAGGCAAAAACCTCATAAAAAAATTTTTTTATCCTTGTCCTTCTTATTAGCCAGATTATAAAATATATACAAGCATCCAAAAGGTTTTTAAATTTTTTCTTTCTCTTAGGATACCCTGAATTCATCACTCTGAAAATATAATCCTGAGCGTATATGGAAAAGGAAGGTCTTAAAAGGCTGGGAGTTTATCATGTGCCCAGCATTTTCTGGATGTCACATGAAAGAGAGGAAGGGCCAGAGGCATGGGAAGGACATCTCCCAATTGCCTCTCCTGCCCTGGGTCCCTGGGACCAGCCTGGCTAAGGACCCGTCTCACTCTCCCTTTTGCTAGTCCTTACTCCCACTCTGCCACATCAATCTTCTAGATAAATGAGTCTAAGTGAGTTGAAACAACTTCAGAATCAGGGCCCATCTGTTTACACCCAAGGCTCTCTGGAGAGGTGGGAAATAAACCTTGGATCAACTTCATGTAGATTTTTTTATGTAGCAATTGAGTTACAGTTTTTGTGTGTCTGTGTGTGTTAGAGGGTGCCATGCTTGTCAGAGAGAGAGAGAGAAACAAAGCACACTCCACACACACACACTTACCCCATAGGACATGCTCACACTGCAATCCCTCCTCCTCCATTTTTCCCTCTTTTCAGGATCTGAGGTGCACACACATTTATATCCAGCTTGTTTTTCAAGCCACCGTGTCCAGGACTCCAACTGTGGGGTCAGTCACATGGGATCTGCCTGCCTTAACCACCAGGCCATGGAGCCAGCTCACATCAACCTCAACTATGAATGAGAACTAAATGGCATCCACTGAGAGAGGTATTTGGTCAACCCATTTCCTATCTTATAAATCAGGAGGCAACAAAGGCCAGACGAGAGGCTCTGAGACTCAATCAGATACATCACTTTATCTCAGGGTTCTGCTAACTCCTACATAATTTTTTTTTCTTTTTTTGGAGAGGTTTTTGCTATAGGGCGCGTGCGCTCGCCAGACACACAGAGAGAGACATAGAGACAGAAAGCAAGAAATCACCCCCCAGGGGGGATGGTCACGCCGCAATCCCTTCTCCTCCATTCTCCTCTCGGGATCTTGGGCACGCACGCACACACGCTCAGCGTGAGTTTTAAGCCACCGGGTCCGGGATGCGAACCACAGTCGACTACGTGGGAGTCCAGCGACATAGCCATTACGCTAACTGCTGGTTCCCACTCCTACATAATTTTTTAAAGTTAATTTATTTATTGATTCAGAGAAAGAAAGAGAGCACCATGACCCACCTCCAGCCTTCAGTCAACCCCAGATCCTGGGCAAACATAAGCCTGCCTGGCATACGCAGGGGAGGCTCTGGACTTGAACCAGGAACCGTCTCATGTGGGACTGCTTTGCAGAATACCATGTTTTACTGCTGTGCACCATCTAGTCACAATCCCTACATCTCTTTGAACAAGATGCTCAACTTCCCTACTTACAATCAACACCTGGCTTTACTTTTCCTACTTTGAACGATATAGAGAGAGGTAAGAAAATGGAAGAGAGAAAAGGAGCTAAAAAGGGAAAGGGCTCCTCTTTGGAGGGTTCCTCTTTCCAGGCCTCAAACTCAGTTACAGGGAGAGAATGAGGAAGGTCAAAGGGTGAACCAGAAGTTAATGTTTTTAAAAAACCTCATAGGGGGCCAGCAGGTGATGTAGTGATTAAAGACACTGGACTCCCACATGGCCAACCATAGTTCGAGTCCCAGAACTGGCAGCTTGCTTTCTCACTTTTCCTCTTTCTCTTTCTGTCTGTTTCTCCCTGATCAAATGTAAATGAATGAATGAATAAGTTAAATAAAATAATTTTATTTTTTAAAAATCTTCCCACAACATTTCAGTGTTGGGATTTTAAAAGGCCTTCAGAAATCTCCTGGTTTTAAAGACTGGGCTCAGAGAGAATGAGCTATGAGGGGGCTAGCAGGGGCCAGAACCAGGCTCCCAGCATTGTGCTCCTTCCAGCAGACCAAGTTAGTTCTCTGGAAGTCCTCGCTGGACTTATCTCAAGTTCTTGGCTCAGAGGAAATATTCTCAACCTTGACCACATCACAGAGAGCAGTTCTATTCCCCAGGATCCAAGTGCTCAGTCCAGAGGAAAAAGAAGGGGCCAAAACAATTCTGGGGCCAGACACCTGAGTGGTCAGTTCTTGTCGTGTTGGGCCATCTGCGAGTCCGTGCACCTCAGTTAAATGAAAAAAAGAAACAAAAGAAAACTGCAAAAAGCAGGGGTCAGATGGTGTCCCAGCAATTAAGCCTAATATTCTATGAGGCAGACCCACAAGGGAGGGCTCTGGGCTCATCTCAGGAGACAGCCTTAAGTAAATTGGGCACACATGTGCCCATGGTCTGGAGCTGGCTGGGGGTGGATTGTGGCACTGGGACTCTGCCAGAGTGAGAGGCACTGGGACTCTGCCAGAGTGACTATCTGTTTATTTCTCTTTATCTCTCACTCATAGAAGAAATAAGTAGACAAACTTAAATGAAACTGCAAAAAGCATCTGCTTGGGGTGGGGGGGTCAGCAGGTAGCATGGATGTTAAAGCAGCTGGATCTCCAATGGCTGACAGCGTGGTTTGAGTGCCTGACCCAGCAGCTTAAAAAACACACGAGTCATGTGTGTGCACTGCCCAAAATCCCGAAAAGGGAATGGAGGAGAAGGGACTGTGACATGGTCATCTTCCTAAGGTCCTTTCTCATTTTCCCTCTCTCTTTTTCTCTCCAGTGAACATACATGCCCTATAGCATTTTGTGAAAGCATTCACTTGGAAGGTACTGTTAGTGTAATATGAATGCTTCATGGGTTTACACATTGCTAATCAGTCTGTGAAGTTCTTAAAGAGAAAACCTACATCACAGTTCACTTTCTGTTGTGACCAACACAGTGCAAGCTATCAAACCGGTTGGTGAACTAATGATGCTTGAGGCCTTAGCTCTGAAAGCCTGTTTTCTGCTACAGCAAATGGATCGTTATCCACAATCACCCTGGAAAATTTCTTCTGCTATGGCTAACGGATCGTTATCCACAATCACCCTGGAAAATTCTGCTCCATGCTTTATGGTATTTATTATCCTTCTCTCCTACTGGCTTACTAGGAGAAAGACCACTCGGTCACACACAGCATGCACGTTCTCTCCTTGCTCTAACTGAATTACCTTCTCACATTTGCATTTTTACCCAGGACAACTCAAGCATCATTCAACTGTACAGTACCTGTTCCCTGCTCCGAGCGATCCTCTCAGACAGCAAATCTGAGTTGTTTCTTTCTTCTTCCAGTTCCATCTCCAGCTGAGATACTTTGTCCTAGGAAAAGAAGGCACAAACATAGCCTGCTCAACTCTCATTGATTTGGATCAGGAACAAGAATTGTCCAGGGAAAAGAAAACCCAAGCGTAAATTATAGTTATCACCAAGGTTTGGGAAAACAATATGACCATCTCTTATACTGTCCAAGATAGGTATTTTTTTAAAATTATGTGTTTTTATTACTTTCATAACATAAAACATCATCATGCATGAGGAAACATATAAAAGAAAAAAAAATACTACCTTAAACCCTAAGGATATTGTAGTATCTTTTCATCAGTGCTTTTTTTTCTTCTTGTGAATAACTTTAAACATCTACCTAAAACAGTTGCCTGTTAAAAATACCATCACAAGGGGACCAGCAGTTGGTGTAATATCTTTGTCGCTGGACTCCCATGTAGTCAACCATGGTTCAAGTCCCAGACTCGATGGCTTAAACTCACCCTGGGTGTGTGTGAGTGCGTGCCCAAGATCCCAGGAAGAAAATGGAGAAGGGATTGTGGCGTGGCCATCCCCCCTGAGGGGTGATTTCTTGCTTTCTCTCTGTCTTTCCTGTGAGTGCACACACCCTATAGCAATAACCTCTCAAAAAATTTATATACAAGAGCATCAAAGAAAAAAAAAAAATATATATATATATACATATATATCTCATCACAAATACTTCATGCTCAGGACAATGTTGTGTCTCTTTCTGTCCAGTTTCCAAAAGCCCTGCAGGACGAGAGCAGACTTTTGCCCCTGACTCCCCCTTCTAGGGAGCCCTGTACATTTTGCACCTTGCAGTCCCAAGCCAGCACTGGATTATCATAAAGACAGTGCTGACCAATTTTGTTAAACTCTCCACCACATCAGAATACTTTGTCTTCCTTGCTGGCTCCTAATTTAATATTATTGAGTGTTAAGAGAAAAGCATTTCAAAGTAGCTTTGTATATGAGAAAAAAAAGAGGCTTCTAATCCAAACCATCCCGCTTAGAATTGGGGGGATGTGGGGGTTTGTGCATATGTGTCTCCAGTCACCACTGTCATATGTCTGGGTAAACTCAGAGTCACAGACACTAAAAAGCAATCCGCACTCTGAATTTTTAAACATGAGCCCGTGGCACTTGTGCATAAATATTGTCTCTGCAATTGTAGAAGTTGATTGACAAGCAATGGATGCCTCTGTAAGCACCAAAATTAAAATGCGTGGACCTCATATGACTATCTGTCTGTGAATGGCCCCTCCTGGTAGTGACTAAAATCTATAGGGAAGGTAGAAAGCTTTCTCCCGTGAGCTGAGAGTCCCCAAAACCAACTCAGAACAGAGCTGAGCTGTGTATCAAAGCCTTCCTGATTCCTTCAAGGCCAGTTTCACTAGAGTCAGAAATCACCAAGGCTCCACAAGAGCCACATTCACATACAACGATCCCCTGGTTTACAGAGAATGCCCATCATGGGGAGAGCTCTTGCGTCCTGAGCATTAACCGAAGTGCTAGGGAAGGAACATTTGCCAGAGCGTGACAATCCTGCTTGCTGCCTCTTAGGAAAAGAAATATCCCTCGAGTGTGCTTCTCGGTGTTGGGGCCTGGAGAGCTACTCATTTTGTAATTAATGGAGAAACAACTAAAATATTACAGAGGGGAAAATGAAGCTTTGGCTATGCTATTGCTTTTAAAACCTCACGTCAGTCAAGGGAAATGTTCTTCTGAAAAGGAATATTCTAGAGATCAATTAACCATCCCATCTTCAGCTGAAAGCATCTTTTCATGGGGCCCTCTTCTTGCCTAAAATCTGTGCTACTGAGAACCCCACAGGAGAGTCTAGGGCCTGGGGCTTGTGCAGCTAAGGCTCTTTCTCCACTGCCTGAAAGGGCTTCAGCTTGCTTTTAGCCAGGGTCTTTGTGCTCTAGAGTAACTAGGCGACCTGGGGTGACCTTCACTTGCCCTAAAATTACACCATAAAGAGGTCAGAATCAGGACATTCACAACATGCACAGCAGACTCACAAAAGAGTAATAGAACTGTAATGAGTTATTCTAGTGCCTGAAAGTCTACCCCTCTAATAAAAATTTCCAGTGACTGAAACAACTCTCTCTAGACATAAACTGCTTCTCAGTCCCTGAAGGTTTTTTAAAGTTATGTTTGCTTATTTGTAAAGATGAATCAGGAATTCCATTGATTTTGATTCAAGTCATTTCTCCATAGCCTTAAGCACTAACTGTCTTATCAGAACCTTGAAATTTTAACTTCTCCCCCAAAAGTCTAAAGATTACTTTTCAGTCATTCTCTCACTCTCTTTCACTCTGTAATTCCCATTGTGGTTTATTGGTGTGTGTGTGTGTGTGTGTGTGTGTGTGTGTGTGTGTGTTCCGTTTGGGGTAAGTTTTGTTCTTAAGGATGATTCTTCTTTACAAGTTCAAGTGGACTGATTTTTTTAAGAGCTTTTGCCTTAGGGTGTGTGTGTGTGTGTGTGAGAGAGAGCGAGAGAGAGAGAGAAAGCGAGAGCGAGAGAGACAGAGAAAGATGGCTACGCTGCAATCCCTTCTCTTCCATTCCCCTCCCGGGATCTTGGGCATATAGGCACACACACCTGGTATGACTTTCAAGTGACTGGGTCCAGGACTCAAACCACAGTCAACCATGTAGGAGTCCAGCAATGAAACCAGTACACCATCTGCTGAGCCCCTGGGTGGTCTGATTTTAAGATTTCTCCTTTCAAGGCCAGCAAGTAGCATGCTGGTTAAGGTACTCGCCTCTTACATGGCCGACTGTAATTTCGAGTCTCGGACTTGGTGGTTTGCTTTCTCATTTTCTCTCTCTGTCTCTTTCTGGTGCGTGCACATGCCCCAAAGCAAATCAAAACAATAAATTGATTAATTAATTAAATTATTAAGAAAAAGATGCTTTCTTCCATTCCAACATATTGTTCATACTTAGATTCTATTACTTTGAGCCCTTTCTATTGTCATGGGCTATGTATAGACCACATATACAATCATGCAGGGATCCCCAGCTCTAGGCCACAGACCAGTACCAGTCTTTATTACTACAATGTAATAATAATAATAATAATAATAATAATAATAATAATAATAAAGTGCAAATAAATTAACTGCACTACAATCATCCAGAAACCATCCCTCCTGACCCAGTCTGTGGAAAAACTACCTTCCATGAACCCAGTCCCTGGTGCCAAGAAGGTTGGGAAACACTGACTGGTCACTGCTAGCTCTGGCAAAGCCAGATAATCTGTCAGGACAAAAGGGCCAGAGCAGTTAATGAGAATGGAGCACATGCAGTGGTCAGTGAGTGCTGGTGGTCCCCGGGAGGCAGGTGTTTGGGCCCAGAGCACTGCTTTACTTCTCTCTGGGCATGCAACAGCCTTGCTGCCTTATAGCTGGTAGTATCCCCCCATCCACTCACCCACCCAAGAACAAACAGGAAAATGAACTGTCTGTCCCTTAAGCAAAATCACCCAACCTCTTTGGGAATCTGTTACATTTCCTCTTCAAGACAACAAATACCAATAATGCCCATCATTCCTTCTAGCTCCAATGTTTTACAAGTCTAAGAATGACCAGCTTTTTTCTCAAACCAAGAAAGAACCTCACTACCAATCTGGCTGTTGGACAGAATAAGAACCAAGACTTTCCAAAGGCTGAGATGGGAAGAGAGAGGCTGCTTCCCTGTGCCCCAGCTTGCTCTCTGGGCCTCATCTCACATTGCATACAGACCTCCATTTGCTTCACCAGCCTGTTGCGGTCATCTTTGAGGTGACTCTTGGCCTCCAGCTCGTACTCCAGGTCTTTCAGCGTCTGCTCCAGAAGCTGCCTTTTTGTGAGTGCTTCATCCTGAGCTCTCTGGTAGTCCCGCAGCTCCTCTTCCATCAGGCGCATCTAGGACGAGAGGGAGCTGGGGGTTTTCTGGGGTACATCAAGAGCAGGGAGACCTCTAAAGAGTGCACAAGCTGATCCTGAAGAAAGATCTGGTGGCCCCTGCTATATTGCTGATACAAAGACCTTGAGTGAGTCCCACCTCTCTGGGCCTCGGATTCCACTTCTGCAAAAAGATGGGGTTTACCAGCCCTCCCCCATGTCCTTGTGGTTAAGGGATCCCCCATGGCTGAGTGCAGTTCTTACCTCAGCCCCAGCAGCTTGCATAACATTCCAGGCATGTGTGTACATTCCTCAAAGCCCAAAAGGATAAGAGAATTATAGTATGACATGCCCCACTAGGGAGTACCTTCTCTCTCTGTCTCTCTGTCTCTCTCTCTCTCTCTCTCCCCTCTCTCTCACTGGCAAATGCATGTACCCTTGAGCAACTAAAAAAAAGCTTTTTGAAAAACTTAAAAAAAAAAAACCTGAATTAATAACTCCAAAGCAACCTGTAGGCACAAATTTTAGCAATTCAAATGTGCCTATTAGGTGACAAACACCATTCTGTAGAAGAAATTGATCTATTAGCTACCATAATTTACAAATTTTTTTTCATCCACAAGGTGGCACTGAACTAATAGCTTTAAAGAAACTACACCAGAAAAACCATTCAATTCACTCGGCTAAAACAGTGTGAGGGGCAGGAAAAGAGCTGAGCTTGAGTTTTTCAAGAATCTAGGGACCAGCAGTTAGCGTACTGGGTATGTTGTTGGACTCCCGTGTAGTCGACCACGGTTCGAGTCCCGGACCCGGTGGCTTAAACTCACGCCAGGCACGTGTGTGTGCATGCCCAAAAACCCAAGAGGAGAATGGAGGAGGAAGGATTGCGGTGTGGCCATCCTCCATGGGGGGGTGATTTCTTACTTTCTGTCTGTCTCTCTCAGGAGCGCATGGACCCTATAGCAAAAAAAAACTCTCCAAGAAAAAAAAGGAATCTAGAGTGGCCTGGCTTGATAACTCACTTTCATTTTAAACAATTCCATGACTTCAACATCTTAATCAAAGGTGGTATCTGATTGTAGTTTCCCTTTATAATGATGAGGGCTCCATGTCTATCTTTTAAATGGAAACAGAGTCTCACAGGGACATGCCAGTGAGATGACCTAGGGTGGGTCGTCTTTGTTTTCATTGTAGGGAATCCTTGTGAATTATTGTTTTTTATAAACACCACTGGGGTCCATATGGACTTAACTAACCTTGGTGGATCTCAGGCTCTTTATCTAACTAGAAAATCTCTTAAGTTTTCTTCCAATCCAAAGATGCTAGCATAAAAAACCATTATACAAAAAGCAATGGGAAGCACTTTGTAGGAGTCATTGTGACACCGTGATCTTTGAAGTCAAAACAGACCAGGTGCTTGTTGGTGTTCTGGCGAATGTCTGAATCCCTCCGCCCCTTTCCTGCAGAAATGAACATGATTGTTTTAATGCCAAAGGGAACTGTGATGTCAGCTGCTGATTTCTATCCTTGTTTGGAGTCCTGAATCATATGACCCCCCCCCCCAAGCCAGAGGGAATCTGTTATCAGGGTCCTGTCACTCCAAGTCTGTAATAAATATCCATTGTTCTTCTACACGGTTTCAGCCCTGACTCATGGGAGATTTTTCTTTGATCATCAAAGAAATTAAAAGTTTGTTTTTCAAAGAAAACCTTTTTATTCTTCCTGTGGAATCTTGGTGCTCTTGGCACTGTGTTTTAAAAAAAAAAATAAGCCTTAAAAATAATGAAAGGGAAGTTAATATTTATTAAGTATCCAGGACGTACAGACTCTGCTATACAGCCTCACATGTTCTCATGTTTAATTACTGCCATTAATATTTTGTGTGTCTTAAAGAGGTAGAAGTATCTCAAAAAACTAGAGTAACCTGCTGGAGGTCACCCAGCTAGCAGGAGGTAAGGCTGGAAGAGCATACATATGCAGCACTCGCGGTTCAGACTCTCCAGCTCCCCATTAACACAGGCAAAACAGTCCCTCTGTTCTATGCTCAGTTCTCTAGAGGTCAAGACTGAAGGGCATGAACATTTGGTTTTCTTTGCTCTATTATTCTTAAATATAAAACCAAAAATAATTTCAATACCCATAAATTCTTAAGAATTTACTTCAGGCTCCATTATTCTAATAATCATATCTACCCCTACACATTCCCCAATCAAAGTCTAAATTTTCAAAAATAAATGGCCAATTTTTTTTTTTTTTTAAATCAGTTACTACAGGGAACCAGCAGTTAGTGTAATGGCTATGTCGCTGGACTCCCACGTGGTCGACCGCGGTTCGCATCCCGGACCCGGTGGCTTAAAACTCACGCCGGGTGCGTGTGCGTGCGTGCCCAAGATCCCAAGATCTTGAATGGAGGAGAAGGGATTGTGGCATGACCATCCCCCCAGGGGGTGATTTTTTGCTTTCTGTCTCAATGTCTCTCTCTGACTGTCTGGCGAGCGCATGCGTCCTATAGCGAAAATCTCTCAAAAAAAAAAAAATCAGTTACTACAATCCCTATTCAGAGATGAAAGCATTAATGTATATAAATCATGTGGGCACACCATTGCTACTCTATATAAATGGTAGTTTAACTTTTTGAACAGAAAAATTGTCGTTAATCGAGAAAATGGTCAAATTAAAGTTGTGTCCGTTTCACCTCATGAAATAAAGTGGGTCTTTCGTGTCTTAGAAAATGTCCAAGAAATCATCCAGAGGGTAAAAAACAAAGAATCAAAACAGCCTCTGTCTGATTCAAACACTTTTGTACTAGGGAGTGCAGTACTATAGTGTGGGATAGTATCATAACCGATTTGCTGATTTATTCATCAAAAAATAACAATAAATCTCTAGCTTTAAATAAATAAATAAATAACCTACCCCAGAGGCCCACAAAGAAGTGTCAGAGTAGGCCTGAGGGATACGGAGTAAGAGATAAAGGGGGAGCTTTTCCAGCTGGCATTACCTCATCCTGCATTTTCATGGCAGTGAGTCGGGATTTCTCTGCCTCCAGGGTTTTCTCCTTCAACTGCCTTTGCATTTCGGCAAGCTCCCTGCGATTTTTCTCCTTGTACTCATCCAGTTGGTTCTGGAGCTCTAGTGTTGATGTGCGGGACACTTCCACAATGTCGGCCATCTGGAAGAAAGGACAGGGACACACCTGCCCTGTGGTACTCTGAGACGAGGGAACTAGGTTTGGGTCCCATTTCAGCACAGAACATATCACCTCCTTTTTTCTGCTACAGCCTTTTCAGTAACTGCAGGGCACCTGGTCTGGGCTGTCCAGCTGTGGTCACCTCTGACTTGGAAGTAGCGTGGAGGAGCAAACAAGCCTATCCTTTAGAGGTAGATAGGCAGGCATGAAGTCACCTCCTTGCTCTGTGACTTACCAGGACATGACTACGGCACGTCTTTAACCTCTCTGTGCCTCTGTGGTATCCTTGTTAGAAATACTGAGATCATTACCTACCTTATGGAGTTGTTGTCAGAATTAAAACAATACACGGAATTCTAGATACAAAAGAGATAGCAAGATAGCTGGCATGGAGTAGGTGCCATAAGATGGCAGCTACTTGTACAAGCTAGAACACAGATGCCCACCAGCTTTGTGCCTCCCCTTCTGGGGATTCTGGAGAAGAAAAAGCAAATGAATGGCAACTACTGGGTTTTGAAACTGCCTTTCACAATCCTGGACGTGTAAGCTATTGACAGATGCAAACACAGAGATTCTGCAGAGGAGCACAGATTCTGATTCAGGTGACACGGTTAAGTTTTCACTTACATACCAGCTTTTCTGTTCATTGTTTAGAGATGATGGTGGTGCCTAGAGTCTAGAAGGTGTTGGCATTGACTTTTTATAGACCGCTTTCTCTATCTGGGATTCTCAACAAGCCCAAAAAGCTGCTTCCAGGGTTATGGGAGCCTCTGGCACATTTGAACCTACACATAACTGCAGCTGTTCCCAGCTTTCCTCGGACCCTCAGACGGTCGGCCTTATACCCTCTCCCTGTTCTGGCTCCCTCACCTCCTTCTGCAGTTTCTCGATGGTCTTGTCGAGGTGCCAGCGCTCATTCTCCATCTCATTCTTCAGCCTCCGTAATTGCTCCTTCTGCTCAGTCTCTTCTTTTAGCTTCTCAGACACCTGCTTTTGCTCCTGAGTGGTCCGACTCAGAGTTCGCTGCAGATGGCAGGAAAAACATAGTGCTGTCACGTACCTACCAGGTCAGCCACAGGGACAAGTGGCAGAGGGGATCTTACAGCTATGCTACAAAGCAATCAGGCCTGTTACATCAGCTATAAGGAAAAAGATCAAAATAAAGCCATCACAAAGATACAAGGTTCTGAAATTCAGGAACTAAAACGCAAAGTTGATTGAACCAGAAACACCACTGGAATGAATGCGCAGACATAAGACATATTATGGAAATACAGCAAATGGCTGAGGCTGCTGGTGACGGAAATTCAGAACAGTCCAAAAATCTGAATGTTCATACTTGAAAATTGAGAAAAAGTTGTCCATTAAACAAACCTAAACATATTTGGTTATTTATATTCTGTGATATATAGTGCTGCACTGAATATTCTATAATTTTCCCTGTTATGTAGAGGTCCCTCAAGTTAGAATAGCTAAAATGAATTTCTACAGAGAGAGTACACTGTCCCGCAGGCCAGAAGTCCACTTGGGTGAAGGGAAGGTCACAGGTTGGACTTAGACATAGAATGAAAAGGAACTTAGAAATCCACAGACTGATGAACTTGATGAATTGAAAGTGCGTTAAATAGAAGAGATACTTGTCAGGAAAAAAAAAAAGACATATGAGTAGTTACGTCGTGAATCAGACCAGATACTAGTACTTGTGTAAAATGCAACCATCTTGGGTGCAATTATTTTCCCTGGTCCCCTGATGCTCTCACTTCACTAAGTCATACAGATGTAGATCTTTTACATAAGCAACATGCACTGCCAAAACGAAATCCTAAAACACTTTAGGAAGGTTATAGTAGCTGCTTTAAACGGCCTGAGCGTCAGAGTCACTCACATGAGTATTGAGAAGAGGCACTAATCAGAACAGAGCAGCATGACCCAGACATACTGGCTCATCTAGAAAATGCTCCCGGGTCTGAGGGCTGGACGTGGGTTAGTATAAGAACCAAACAGGCCTCGCAGGTCTTGCACCCTGCAGAGGCCATGTAAGAACAATGGTTTATATCTGTACAGGGCCTAACAGTTTCTGGGCTGCTGTCACCGGCAGAAACAGAGGCATCTTGAAATCACTTCGGGCTCTCCTGGTTGCAGAGCATGGGAGCAGCTCTGCTCTGCCAAACACGTGACGCCAGGTTAGCAAAGCCACCCGTGGAGCCCTTGCTGGGTTCTGTTGGACTGGCTGTGCTTTGAGAACCAGCCAAAACAGCCAGGCTTCCAAAGTTATTGCTGCAGGGAACCAAGGTCAACAAAAGAGGTTGGAGGAAAGAAGGTGGCAAAAGGAAGGTAAACAGAAGCTCAGCATGGGGGCAATTCACCTGCATGGACCCACCACAGCCAGGCACACACCACAGGCAGGGCCAAACCCTGGGTTTCTGCTTGTAGTTTATTTAGTGGAGATAGGGACAGAGGGTAAAGAGAAGGAGTTACAGTACCTGCAAGATATAGTTGTGTTATGTGGGAGAAAACTCTCAGGAAAATGTATCTCAAAAATGTTAATTCCTGAAAACAAATACAAGATGTTCAGCAATGGCTTTCTTTAGAACCTTCAGGATCCAGCTCAACCCCTGCCCCTACCCTCTCTTTCTCTTTTGCTTGCACCTCAATCCCAATGGCTCCAGGCCACCAGACAAGCTAGCCTCAGCTCCATTCAACCTCTGTAACATTTGTGCATTTCTGATTCCCACTTTACTCAAGGAAGGTTGCCTGGTTTTCTCCTCCTGTGCCATTGGAGACACCTAAAACTCACCCACCCTCAACCTGGGATCTGCCAACATCCTCTACTCCAACACACGTGCACTGCCTACATGAAAAGTTTTGCTGACTTATTTTTAAGATGTTTCTTGTATGCTTGCTTCTTTTGCCAGGTAGTTGAGATCTATAAAAGGCAAGGAGTAGAGTTTTCTGTCTCACAACCCAGGTTCACCATTAGGTGTATGATAAATCTCAGTGGATGGCCCAGGGTGGTGGCATTGCAACAGTGCAATGCTCTGCAAGGCCAGGAGCCATACAGAAGATCAGGGTGGTTCCCTCAGCATGGTGGGTGTGTACATGTACTCACCCATGCCCTTGATCCTGGTTGGCTGGGAGGCTGGGGGTATAACAGGGGGAGACCCTATTGAAGGTGGTTGTTTTTCTCTCTGTCGCTTCATAAAATGGGGAAGAAGAAATCAGTGGTTGAAAATACCTATCTCCCCAAATGGTCTAAAAAAAACTTCTTAAATTAGAACCACCAAGCAAGGGTGTGATATTCCTTACTTCAAATGTACATTCTAGCCCTTTCTGATGGAATCACAATTTTTCTCAAAATGAAGCCCACAAATTTGCATTTGAGAGCTCCCCAGATAAGTCTATTTATTACATCCTAAGGTTTAGAAATAATTTACAACAATATTCTCTGCCTTTCCAGTTACTCAAGAAATATGTTCCCATAAGTCACTGCTGAAAAAACATGGCCCAAATTCACATGAAAAGAAGCAAACTTGGTAACTTTACTTTTTTTTTTTTAGCCCTTCACATGGGCAGTACTAGGAATGAGCTGCTCTGTAGCTACAGACTAGCAATATACTCACTGAGTCATAATGTGACAAAAACTGGGGGAAAATGTATCAGGTCTGTGTAAAGTTGGTGGATGTACAGTTGTCCCTTGGTATCCATAGGGGATTGGTTCCAAGACCATCCTCTCTCCTAACACCAAAAGCCAAGGATGCTCAAGCTCCTCATATACAATGGTATAGTATTTACATATAACCTACACACACCCTCCAGTACGTGTTAAATCATCTCTGGATTACTCATAATACCAGGTACAATGTATATCCTATGTAAGTACCCATTTTTACTTGGTTTGAGGGAATAATGATAATAAAAAAAAAATTTAAAGGGACCAGGAGTTAGCATAATGGCTATGTCGCTGAACTCCCATGTAAGCAACATTAAACAAACCTAACCGCGGTTCACATCCCAGACCCAGTAGCTTAAAACTCACACTGGGCACGTGTGCGTGCATGCCCAAGATTCTGAGAGGAGAACGGAGGAGAAGGGATTGCAGCGTGACCATCCCCCCGAGGGGGTGATTTCTCACTTTCTGTCTCTCTCTGTCCAGCGAATGCATGCGCCCTATAGCAAAAACCTCTCCCCCCAAAAAAATAAATAAATAAATAAATTTTAAGAATAAAAAAGAAGTCCATACATGTTTAATACAGATATAACCACTGTTTATCCCCCAAATGTTTTCTAATCACATTTGACTGAATCTACAGATAAAACTGAATAGGGAGGGCCAGCTGTACAGTGAATGCCCTTGTTTGGGGACTATTACCTGTCAAAGGACACAGACCTTTTTACTATATGACTAAGTAAGGCCCTGATTGGTTCATATTAGCAGTAGCCAAGTTGCAAATGAGCCTATGGGCTTACAGGAGCGAGTGGCTTGATCAGAGGACATTGGTCCTCTTGGCCTTGCCACGCATTAACCAACAACAAGGCTTCTTCCCTTTGTTGTCTCAATACACAGAAGTCCCGCAGGGCGGCAGGTGAAGACACAGAGAACTTGTGCCATTCTCCCACAGGAAAGAACTGTGTCTTCTCCAGAAAAGGTTCTTCACCTCCCAGTCTGCAGAAGCCACTTGTAAATGGAAACGTGGACATCTTTGCCCTGAAGGTAGTTCAAGTAGACCTAGAGAGCAGCACAGTCCTGACCTAAGTGATAGGGACTGAGCAAACCTAGAATGGCATCTCTAAGACCCTCTGCCACTTTTTGACTGAGTCATGGTAAATCAGATGTAAATACACCACAACCTTCAGCTATTATATAAAAGAAATGTATTTATCATACATGAAAAAAATAAGAGATTGCTAATGGCACAGAGTTTTGAAATATAAAATGCAGTTAAAAAAAAAAGGGCTAGTTGCTTTTTCTTCTTACTTTAGGGCTCATCTCCCTTTTGGTCAACAGTTTCAAAGACAAGAGGCACACAGAAAGTTACTGAACTAAAGAAGCTGATATCTGGTTCCCAATTGTATTGCACACAAAGTATTTTACTTTGTGTGATGGTGATTTTTTCACAGCACTCCTTGGAGACCAGACAATACAGGAAACATGGTTAAATTATCAGGTATGTTTGAAATTCTTGCAAGATCATGCTGCCAGTGGCTGGCACAAGCATGTGAAACATGCCCACACCACCAGGAAAACAGCCTCAACCAAAGTAACAGATAAGGAATACTTTTCAAGGCCAGGCTAGAGATCCAGAGGTCAGGATAGTTGGGAATTCCATTAAGATCTGTAGGCCTTGAGGCCATCATCTGTTCTATACGCTGAATTAACGAGGAGCTGCGGATTCACAGCTGGTGAACTACTTCCGTATGTGTGAAATGTTCTCGTCTGACCTATAGAAGACATTCTGAGAGACGCTAATAGCTGCACCCAGCGCATGGTGTGGATGTGACATGAAGGGACAGATTCTCGTCCTTCTAGAGTAAAAACGTTTTTCCTCTCTCTGTCCCCAACTAGTTCACAAATTTAAATCCCACACGAACCTTAAACAGCAGCCTACTGAAATTGTCATCCACACAAAAATTGACTCTAAGAGTTTGTAATGAAGATCTAGGTGCAAAGGAAAAGGGAGAGAGAGAAATCCAAAGTAAATGCAGTCAGACAGCAAACTCATAGTAAAAAATGGGGACTTATGCAAAAATAAGTTTCCTGTCCAAGGCCAAGGAATGGTATAAGCTTCTGATGTGGGGTGAGAGTCCCTAAGTTATGGCTGACCTGTGTGAATACATTATGCTCTGCAGAGAAGAAGCTTTGTACTTACAGGAAAGATGTGATTAGACCCCTAAAAATGTGAATCCTGACTCAGTACTTAACACTCTTACTGCGTGTACTCCCTTACCTAGCCCTACACATGTGTAGGTCCCTGATGGAAAACTTCAACAACTTTCTTCTTAGCTCTCAAAAACACTGGCGTTTACCTCCTCAGAAACCTGCCTGAGGGATGTGTGGATGCTAATGCTGTTTCTTTAAAGCCGAAGAGCTGTGGAAGGCAGGATATCCATGGACCACATTGAGGTCACTGGGTAATCAATTTAGAACTCCAGTGCAGACTTTTCATTAGAAGGTACTTCAAGTAATCTCTCTAACCTTCAAATGGGAAAATCTAATTTTCTAGAACTTACTGGTGTTGAATAGTGATAACTATCTGTTTCAAGGAAATGACTTCCTCCTGCTCCGTTTAACGGCCATCTTGAAGGACTGTACTCTAATGGACTGCATTTGCCCAGAGGAGAAGGGAAATTGGCTTCTTCCAGAAAGCCAACTACACACTGCCTCGGGGACCAATCCTGCTGGCCTTCTCACACAATTCATATTTTATCTTCAGAAAGCTGTCAAGCTCTTTAACATCTAGACCAAGATTTCCCAACCTTGGCAGAATTGACGTTTGGATTAGGTAATTATTTGTGGTAGGGGCTGCCCTCTGCTCTGTAGGATGCTTCGAGGATCCCTGGCCTTCATCCACTAGATGCCAGTAGCATCTCCTTAGTTGTGACAGCCCAAAATATGTCTGGAGACATGTGTCAAATATCCTCCCAGTTGAGAACCACGGGTCTAGGTGGCTAGTTCAAAGCCCAGGGTGCTGTTACAGATGAAAAGCAGCCACCTGAAAGGAGATGACCAGGGTCAATTTACACATCTCTCCAATTTTTCTTTTCTTTTTTTTTTAAAGGTCTTTTTTGGCCACAGGGTGTGTACACTCACTGGAGAGATATAGAGAGGGAAAGTGAGAAATCACCCCCCTCCAGGGGTTGGCTATGCCACAATCCCTTATCCTCCTAGGATTTTGGACAGACACACATGTGTACCTGGCATGAGTTTCAAACCGCCAGATCCAGGCCTCAAGCCACAGTCAGCCATGTGGGAGTCTAGCACCTTAACCACCACACCACCTGCTGGCCCACAGTTTTGCTTTTCTGGGCTTCTTTTATGAAGGAATGGTCAGCAGCCCTTGGTGCCTACCTGAGCATCTGCTAGCTCACTTTCCAAGGTCCTTCTTGCTGACATGGCCTCTTTTTCTTCCTTTTTTGCATGCACAAGGGCCTCTTCTAGTTGCCGTGTTTCTTCCTACAATGAAACATGGGGTCAGGACACATTTAGATGAGTACTATACGAATAAAACAGACTGACTCAGGCAAATGAAATGAATGCAGAAGACACCCACGAACAGTAGTGGCAGAGGTCATGGGTGCCAGTCATGGGCCCAGTCATGTTACTGGATGTCTGTGCCAGTCTACCAGTCCTTGTTCTTAGCCAGCATAAATATCAATTAGCTGGGGTCCTTTTTTGTCTGTTTGGTTTTTTATCCCCCTATGTGCCCAAGGATGCATACACTTGTAGGAGAGAGAGAAAAAGTGAGAAAACACCTCTTGTGAGGGATGGCCATGTCACAATCTCTCCTCATCCATTTTTCTCTTCTTTTGGAACTTGGAGCTTGCACGCACATGCACCCAGTGTGCTTTTCAAGCTACTGGTGTCAGGACTGCAAACCGTGTATTCAGCCATGTGAGATATAGCTACCTTAACCACCAGGCTGGCCCAGGGTAATTATTTTAAAATACAAATATCCAGCCTTACCCTCAGGGATTCAGAAACAGCAGGTATTAACAGGATCCAGACACATATAGTATTGAGAAAAGTATCCAAGTGATTCTGATGGGTGACTGCTATGGCTTGAAAGAGTTCCCCAAAATGCATAGGTTGTAAACTCAGTTGCCATTGTAACAGTATTAAGAGGTGAGGCCTTTAAGAGGTGATTAGACAATGAAGGGTCTGCCCTCATGAACAAACTAATGTCACTGCTGAGGGAATTGGTTCCTTATAAAAGGACAAGTTCCTCCCCCTTTAGTGCGTGTGTCTCTCTTGTCCTCTTTGTCCTTCTCCCATGTGTTGACACCTTTCCAACCTCCAGAACCATGAGAAATAAGTGTCTAGTGTTTATAAAGTACCCAGTCCATAGTACTTCAGATATAGCAGTATAAAACAGACTAAGACAAGAACCATGTGTATCACACTTTCATGGTCAGCTCCCTTTTCTTACTGCTGTCACTGTGCATCTCTCACTAATGGCTTCCCATTTCTCACTAGAGCTCTAGCAAACCAGATAATTGGTTTGTTAAAACCTGTGTAATTTCAAAAACATCAACTATGTGTGGGAAAGAATAAATAGTCTTATGTGAGAATTGGCCTAATGGTGGTGTTAAGGTTGCCTTTTTCGAGTGTTTGGAGGCTCTGCAAAGCCTCAGAAAAAGGAGTGTGCCTGATGTGTGGGAAAGTGGGGGTTCCTGTGTCTCCCCATGTTGTTTCCTACCCTGACCCAATGGTTCCTGTTCCCAGGCCTCCGATTCAGACTACTTCTAGAGAAACAAAAGAAATGGCTTAAAGAGAGGATGTAGTCACTATTGTCTTGACCTTTCCCATTAAATTGTGATAATAAACCCTTTATCTACTTATGAAACCACTCACGCAGGAAAGAAAGATCACAGCTGCCAAACCCAGGCTTGGGTCCAGCAAGTCTTACCTCGTACTTCTTGAGCATTTCCTGTGCTTTGGCTTCATCGTCTTTCATGTCATCAATCTGTCTCTGAAGCTGAGCAAGTCTCCATTCCAGCTCCCCAATTCTTCCCTGTAGTTTCTCATTCTCTTCTTTTAGAACCTTCACACGCAGCTCAGCCCCCACCTGGTTTTGCTCTGAAGCATTGCTTCGGCTGGCCAGCACCTCGACATTCTGCTAAAAACAGGGAGCAGTGAACAAGGGAACAGGTGTCAACGGGCAGTCCCTAAACTACAAGAAGAGCTGGCATTTATGAAAACCAACTACTTGCCAGGTCCTGTGCTAGGCCAGGGGTTGGCAAACAACAGTCTACAGGCCAAGTTCAGCCCACCAAAATTTTGTTAAAAACCAAGTGTTACAGGAACTCATCCATACCTGCTCATTTGCAGACTGTCTATGGCAGCTTTCAAGCTACAACAGCTGAGCTGAGTGGTTGTGACCAAGTCTACAAGGCCTCTGGTGTCACAAAGCCTAAAAGGTTTACTGTCTGTTTCTTAACAAAAAGCTTGCTAACCCTTTCCCATCTTAAGTGCTTTACATAGAAGTTCAACATGGTACTAGCTGCTACCCTTATCACTATCTTAAAGATGAGAACTGAGACCTGAGTAGACTGAGTAACTGCCCAAGATCACCTTGGAAGAACTACATTCAGGCAGACTGAATCCAGAACCTGTCTTCACAATCCTCACCTTCCAGTGTGTTCACTTCCCTGCTCCCTTACCATGGGCAGGGCCCCTAACAGAAGTTCTTAATAAAGGGCAATTTCTGGGTACAGGTTTGCTTGCTTGTTTGTTTTTTAATGTCCAATATAAAACAGAAATGAAAATTATGATACAGTTCATAGTGCAACCTCAAGACACTCTCATCTGAAAATGAGCTCGTGCTGCACACAAGTCACAACAGAAAGGACTAGCAACAACTACAGGATAATTACTGTTAATTCTTGACCTCACATGCACTTTACATTCTTTTGTTTAGCAACCTGAAGTGAAGACAAGTGGTTCTGCCCAATGTTCCACTTCTCGGACAGATCTCTTGCCTGTCTGTGATTTCTCCACCACCATACATATGCCAATATCAACAAATGTCACACTCATGAAACACTTCAGATGCCTGCAAGGCTCAGGAAGGGAAAGATCTGGCTTTGAAAGCCTAGGTCATGGCCCATTCTGAGAGCTATCTGCTAAAACTGCTTGCTTACATAGCCGTTTGGAAAGATCTTTAAATCTACTAACAGTACCATAAGTTTTATTATCCAGAACTTAACCAATTAGAGAGTTTAAGAAATGAGTGCATCTTTTCACAGCCCAAATGTTTAATCTGATACATCTGCGCCAAGCAATTGAGTTAGAATGAGGTTAGCTGACATTTGCTAGAAGAAAATTAAGGTGCCTGGCAACTAGGATTTCTCAGGACTGCTTGAATATCATCTCCTAATGAAATCAGCAAGAGGATACATCATAAAGTTGAAGAGATAAGAAATAAAATGTGGTGGTCAGAATTCAGTAACAGGTGAGACTAGGGGAGACGAGGGAAAGATAAGGTCTAGAATTCCCATCCCTACTCTTAACTCTGCCATTAAAAGACAAGAGAATACAAAAGCCACAGTTTTCAAGACAGGGTGGTCATAGCATAAGACTAGATATATAGATCAATAAAACTGAATTGCGAGTCCAGAAAAAAAATCGATACATTTACAGTCAATTAATTTTCAATGAGGGTGCAAGATAATTCAAGGGAGAAAGAATCGCCTTCAACAAATGGTACTGGGACAACTGGATTTCTACAAGTAGAAACATGCAGTTAGATCCACTGGTGGCATGGTTAAGGAAGCTGGATCCCACATGGTCAACTGCGTGTTTGAGTCTCAGACCTGGTGGCTTGAGAAACATGCCAGGCGCATGTATGTTTATGCCCAAAATCCCAAAAGGAGGGAGGAATGGAGAAGGAACTGCAACACGGTCATCTCCAATGGGATGGGGGGGATGCTCTCTCTCCCTCTCCCTCTCGTGCACATGCCCTTTAGCAAACTTAAAACAAGAATAAAGTTAGACCCCTTTTTATACCACATACACAAAAATTAACTCCAAGTGGGAAACAGACGTACATATAACAGCTTAAATTATAAGAAAATTTTACAAGAAAATATAGAAATAAATAGTTGTGACTAGCCGTTATGCCAAAGCTTTCCAGCTATAACACCAAAAATACAAGCAGCAAAACAAAAGATAAATTAGACTTTTTCAAAATTAAAAACTTTGGGAACCAGCAGTTAGCGTAATGGCTATGTCGCTGGACGCCCACGTAGTTGACCGCGGTTCGCATCCCAGACCCGGTGGCTTAGAACTCATGCCGGGCACGTGTGTATGCGTGCCCAAGATCCCAAGAGGAAAGTGGAGGAGAAGGGATTGCGGCGTGACCATCCCCCCTGGGGGGTGATTTCTCGCTTTCTGTCTCTATGTCTCTCTCTGTCTGTATGGCGAGTGCATGCGCCCTATAGCAAAAACCTCTCCAAGAAAAAAAAAAAAAACTTTCATGCTGCAAATAACACCATTAAGAAATTAGAAAGACGATCAACCCACAGAGCAAGAGGAAATACTTATAAACTATATATCTGATACATGACTCATATCCAAAATATATTTTAAAAATTATTTTTAAAGAATTATTTATTATTATTTTTTCACATGAATTTTGCCAGACAAAGACAGAGACAGAGAGAAAAAGCATGTCTCCAGGTCTGGGACTTGAACTGTGGTTGACCATGTGAGAATTCCAGCATCTTAACCACCATGCCACCTGCAGGTCCTATATTTTAAAAAGTTCTTGAACTCAAAAATATTTAAAGAACCCTTTCTTCTTTTTAAATTTTTGTTATAGGATGCCTGCACTCTCCAAATTAAGAGAAAGGGGAAATGAGAATGCAGTTCCCAAGGTGGATAGCCGTGCTATAATCCTTTTTCCTTTGTTCTCTTCTTAGGATTTTGGGCACACATGCACACACACCTGGTGTGATTTTTCGGGGCAGCAGGTCTGAAACTCAAACCATGCAGTTGACCATGTAGGATCTAGCACTTTAACCTCTATTCATCTACTAGCCAAAGAAAAATAACCCATTTTTAAAATATGCAAAAGATCTGAAAAGACACTTTTTAAAACAAGATAAACAAAAATCCAATAAGCAGATGAAAAGATGTCAACACCATTAGACATTAGAGAAATGCAAATCCAAACCACAATGAACTGCCAATTCATACCCACCAGGATAGCTACAATAAAATAAAATAAATTTAAAAAAAAAAGATAAGATAATCACAAGCATCAGCAAGAGTGTATAAACATTAAAATGCTCATACATCGCTGGTGTGAATATAAAATTGTGTAGCCCTTTTGGAAAACAGTTTGGCATTAAACAGAGTTAACCTATGACCTTGCAATAGTATTTCTTGGTGCATACTAAGAGAAGTAAAAACATATGTTCATGCAAAAACTTGTATATGAATAATCTCAGCAACATTATTCACAATGTCCTCACCTGGTAAAAGGGTAAATAAAATATAGCAGCATATCCATAGAAGAGAATATTACTTAGCCATAAAAAGGAATGAAATACTGATGTATGCTACAACATAGATACACCTTGAAAATAATATGCTAAATGAAAGCAGCCAGTCTCAAAGGATCCCATATTGATCTTCCCTTTCCTGTAACCATATCTAATTTGCCTGGGGCAGAACTCGAATCTAAAATGAGATCCCTTAAATGTTGTGGTAAAGCAAAAATAGTTTCTATGTGTGGCTAGTGTGCTTTCCATCACCCAGAAAGAACAATATGGAAAACCAGATCTGGTTTAACCTGGATTTGGGTCTCACTGGCACCCTGGCATGCTAGATAGGGTAGCCTGGACTATATTTTGTTTCAAGCCTGGCATTCAAATCATTGCTCAGCCTGTGACTGACAGAGGTCTACTCCAATTCTGGAAGACTGAGTATGACTCCAGAGAGCAAGCGTGTGTTGAGATACTTATTCCTGTTCCCTTTAGCTATAAATATGTGTGCATTTTTCTCTATGCCTTCTGAATGTGGTAGGCCACACTGTGTTTGTAAATAATTTAACAAGACCCATTCACCATTTCATATGAAGCTCATAGAATAGGCTTCCCTTTCCTATAATCAGACTTAATTTGCCTGTGGCAGAACTAGATCTAAAAATAAAATAAAATAAACCATATCCCTTTGTTCAAGCTAAGTACTACATGCACGTTCTTCTCCATGACTTCCCATTGGAGATATTTAGGACTCCAAAGTCCTCCCAGCTCTGAAGTGCTTTGACGCATGCACCATCTCTTCTAAATGCTTAAGCTCGTATTTCATGAATGTGGCAAAGGCAGAAGATCTGCACAGAGGAACCAGTAGATGGCATAATGGTTATGTCACTGGAACTCTACTTGGTCAACCATGCCTGGAGTCCTGGACTCAGCGACTTAAAACTCACACCAGGCAGATATATGTATGTACCCCAGATCCCAAGATTATCAAGGAGAATGGAGGAGAAGGGATTGCAGCACGGCATGGCCATCCCCCCCTAGGGGGTGACTTCTTGCTTTCTGTCTTTGACTTTCTGGCAAGTACACATACCCTATGGCAGAAATCTCTCAAAAAAGGAAGAAAAAAAAAGAACTGCACCAAGACCAGAGCTGGTAAAGATCTACTAGATGGGAGGTCTCTGGGATGCATACTACTGACCTCATGTAAGTCAGTGGTGCTGCTTACGTGATTCTCTGACCCTAAATCCTTTATATCATAACACGATTAGAGAGGATGCTCCTTCCTAAATAAAACCAAGAGCACACGGGATGATTCCTTTAGTCATATCATGCCACTTATGTGATGTCTATTTTTAAAAGAATTATACTGATTAATTTTTTAAACATCTTCACAATTATTTCCTCATACAGGCAGTCATAAATAGCTAATAAAAAGCAATTTCAGGCCCAGCCTCTGTGGCACAGCCAGTAGCATAATGGACTGTGGAGTTGGAAGCCACATGCAGTTCAAGTCTCTGGTCCAGTTGACCTAAAAGCACACACCAGACACACAAGTACAGGCCCAGGATCCTGGCAGGCTAGAGGACTAGAGAAGGGGGATTGTGGCATGGCTGAGCCCTGTGGAAGC